AGAGCCAAGAACAGCCCCAGAGCTGCAGCCCCAGAGCTCTCAACTGGGACAACACAGCTCTAGAGGACATCAAACTCTCAAGCATGTACTGTTCCCTCTGCTTCCCCTGTCTACCTCACAAAACCTCTCTTCAAAACTCACCCCCAAACTGAGAAGTCTTCCATGACCTCCTCTATTCACGGAAGAATAAGGTCCCTCTAGCGCTATAAGAAGACTCCCCACCCTGCAGTTTAGAAATGCTTATCCCAACACAAGCCCTGCAGTGCACACCTATAATCCCAGCAGCTCAGGAGACTGAAGCAGGAGGATCTCAAATTCAAGGCCAGCTTTGACAATTTAATGAGATCCTGTCTCAGAAAATAAAGGGGGTTGCAGATGTAGTTCAATTGTAAAGCATCCCTGGGTTCAATCCCACTACTGGGTGAAAAAAATAAAATAGACGTGTTCTCCCCATTGGTCTATGACTTTTCATAGACAAGAACTCAATCAGGGCTGGGGATGCGGCTCAGCAGTAGGGCTCTCACCTAGCACATGTGAGGCCCTGGGTTTGATCCTCAGCACCACATAAAAATAAGTAAGTAAAATAAAGGTATTGTGTCCAACTACAACTAAAAAATACATTTTTAAAAAAAGAACTCAAATCTCTCTCTCTCTCTCTCTCTCTCTCTCTCTCTCTCTCTCCCTCCCTCCCTCCCTCCCTCTTCTGTTCCCCCATTGGCCTCAAACTTACAATCCTCCTGCCTCAGTCTCCTGAGCACCTAGGATTACATGTGTGCTACCAGACCTGGAAAGAATTCAGTCTCAACCATCTGTGGATCCCAGGGTCTAGCAGTGTCTGATGTGAACAAGAGAACAAATGGATGGGTTACATGAATGAATGTATGTGTGCATGAATGAACAAATCAGTCCATCTAGCCAGCATCCTGGTGGACTGTCCCTCCAGGTAGTAACTTAATCAATGGCTGGAAATAAGCACGGAGCTCACTCAGATATTAGCATGTCCATCAACAAAGGCAGTGAGATGCTGGGACAATCACAGTTTGCAAAAGCCTCTCACAAAGAATGTCCATCAGTACAACTTCTGCTATCCCAATTCAAAGTCTTCAATCTTAGCAGTTTATTGGATGTGCCCAAGAATAAATTTAATGTCTTACAGAGTTCAATGTCAAGAATGCAGAGACTTCACCTCTAAAAGCTGTCTGCTGCTTTCTTCATGACCTTGCTCTAACATTCTTCCTGCACAGGCAGGACTGGATCTAAGTGACCCTGAGCTCACCTCCTCCACAGGTGAGCTTTCCAAGTCAACAGGTACTGCTGGCCAGACCACTGTGCCTTGCACCATTTTTTCTTCCCAAAATCAGAAAAGAAAAAGCTCTTCACTGTCCCCATATTGCCCTGTGCTTCATTTACTTTCTTAAACTAGTGCCACCACTATATGTTAGGAATTTAGGAAAGTTCAACATTTCAGCTTAATTACATTAATGTCTTGTTAAGTAACCATTTCCAATGAAATCATCCCCTGCACTCCTAGAAGKATTGCACTATAGAACAAATCTTGATGGGAAATGAGACTATGAAATTCACAGTCCAAGCTTTAGGTTAACAAAAAGAACGCTTAAATCCCRTACTACTGTGATGACCACCGGCACACATTTCAAATTCAGAATACTTTGTTAGATTCTGTTTCCCAAAATGGAACAATATGCTTCATGAATCCACACAGAGAGTCATTTTCTTATGATTCATGGATGATAGGGGTCGAATGAGAAAAGTGTGCCAGGTTCCCAGGGCTGGGGAAGACATCAAATAGACACCCAGCCAGTCCGGGGCATCAAGACACAATTGAGATATGCAAATGTGTCGAGACCACTAGGGTGCCTTCAAGACAAACCTCGAGCTGGGAGAGAGCTCAGCTGCAGCGCCTTCTCCAGCACGCTTCAGGCACTGCAGCAACAGCCAAAATCCATACAGACAGAAGGCTGCGAGTCACTAGTCCACTCACTCTTTCATTCAAATCAATGACCTCTGTTTTACAGTTACCATCTTACATATCGAAAGCACAGGCCTAGAGCAGCGGAGAGAAGTTTCTTCAGCTCTGGTCTGGAGAGAAGCCCCACGCAGGGATGGAAGCAAACAACCCCACCCCCCCACCCCCCCCCCATGGCACGATGGTGTGCTGACAGACAGCGGAACTTCTCAGAGAAGTCTGGGCCCCAGCAGCCCCAGGGCTACCCTTTAACCTCCTGTCTGCAGCAAAGCCATAACTGCAGAGCTGCTGTCCCTTCACGACTAAGTCTCACAACATTAATGTAGGTAGAAATTAGGGGACAGAAAGAAAGGGTACCAAGCAGTACCCATGCTGCCCCATGTGTGAAAAGACAGCAGCAAGTCTGAAGTGCTAGCGGGGGACACAAGTCACCAGACAAGGAAGTGACCTGAGCCGCACCTTGGGCGGCTCCCAGTCCTCTTGCTGCAGCCCAGGGCCTACTGACCACCAGCAGTGACCATCCAGTTCACCATCCAAGAGTCAACTTCTTCAAGGATGCTGACAAATCCTGCCCACCAGAACTCCCGAGGGAAGTTCTGTCCTGTTGCATAAAAATATTGCTCATGTATCCCTCTTCATCCTAGTAGCTCTTTAATTAAAATAGGTATAAAGTTATTAAATTCAATTTCAAGTACAATTAAAACATGTATGAAAATGACCACTTTCCTGGAATGTATCTGTTTCAAAAATTCCTCAAGCATCACCATATGCACTGAATACTTCAGAAAATACAAACGCCTGTCATTATATGAATCTACCTGAGGCGCTGCCGGTGGCTCTGCACAGACAGTAGGAGGCATGCCAAGGTCTAAGGGAAGTCACCTACTGTTCTCAGTGCACTTCTATTTTTGTACTTGAATTTCCAGAAGATTTCAAATTCAGTTTTTAGGCAATTCTGTGTGAATGCGAGCCCCGGAGCCGAGGATTGAACCCCAGGCCTCACACGCTCTCAGTGACCTACGGCTGAGCGAGGCCCCTGTAGAGACTGTTTTTAGAGATCCTGAGAAGCTGGGAGTAAATTCTCTTTTTATAAATAAAATCACTCTTTCTTTACATCCCACTACAGTGTTCTACCCTGTTCATTCCCTCTCAAGGCCTTCTGAGCGCTGTCGGTAGATCTTTACGGGACCCGAAATGCTGAGAAATGGGGGAGAAAAGTTCAGGGTTTTCCTTTCACATCCCGAGGAATCCTCTTTCAAATAAGAACTGAGTATCTGTCTGCTCCGTGTAAGCTGTGATCTTAGCTGGGCACCCTCATACAGCAGATAATCACACAGTGAAGTCCTCTTTGATGGGGACCTGACTGAGGGGAGAGGCAGGAAAACTATAAAACAGACAACTCTTTAGAAAATGCATCTGTAAGAAGCAAAAACCGCAATGCTCTTTGTCCTAAAAGCACTCCACTGTGCACTATATAATTTATTACACAGTACTCAGTAAACCCCTGTGTCAAACAGTACCTACAGGGAAATCGTTATTGAACAAAAGCTGAGTATTTGAAAAGGAAACAAATTAAAAGTGAGCAGAAGAAAGTGCCACTCAGCCAAGCACTGCTATCTTGAGACAATAATGTGGGTGGAAAGGTCACGACCTAGAAGGTGGGAGACCTGGGCTCCACACTCACTCTGCTTGCAGGCCGAGGACCCTGAACAAGCCACATCACCTCGAGGTCCCACTCCTTTGTTAAGATGAGGGGCCTGGCTATACCCATCCCAACAGCCACTACAATGCTAAGTACTGTGTTCCGCCTTTTAAATTATGCCACCAAATGTGTAGAATTTGTGGGTAGAGGAGAGTCAAAGGACTAATACTGTACAAAAAAGAAAAGCACAGAAAGGGAGGCTTATTTTTACTTATTGACACAAATATCATACCTGCAGGGCAGGCTCTGAAGTTAAGAAACYTCTTAATTATTTTCATAAATGTACCATTTAAAATTGGTCTAGAATTCAGTATATTTTATTGTCAAGGTCAGGATCTGAGAAAAACTATACAGAGCTATAAGAATAAAGACAAAACTGGCGGATCAAATTAAAGTCTCACAGATGCATTTTACCTCAGAGGTTTCTAGAAACCATTCCTGTGAGACCCTATGAAAGTACTGGACATACACGAATCACAGTAGGTACCAACCCAGCAGCAAAACATGCTTCTCCAAGTGGCACAGACCACACAGCATGGCGTTTTCTGGAGAACAGCAACAGAACCCTGCCTCGTGGACATTCATGGCCACAGGTAATCTGATAAGTGAAGTTTGCTTAGTGGTGATTACTTCAGTATTGGGATTAAAAAAAAAAAAAAAAAAAACAACCTTCTAATTAGAATTGCAGTGCTGCATAAAGGAAAGAGGGAGCCACGCTTTTTCAATTCCAGAGTGTGACATCTCAGAAAAGAAACAGTTAAAAATGTGTGTGTGAGGCTGCTCTGTATTAAGACAATAAAATAATAAAACTTCTACATTTCACTATCTGCTAAGGACATGCACAGGGCCTGGTGGCAGCCCCTCTGATGGAAACAAGGGCACAGGGTCCAGCTGAGAAGGAAATTAAAAAGCGCTGACTCAGGGGGACAGGGATGGGGCTGGCGCAGGTGGCATGCCAACTCAGAGCCTGGGCAGGCAAGAAACAGCAACCGCGGTCAACTGGACAGGCTCCTTGTTCCTTTTCTCTCCGGACCTCCAGCTTAGAGGTGGCTGGTAGGAAGGCGCTGGTAGCATGTGATAAGCATGACGTGTCTGAGTGAGGGACAAGCCAGCCTATAGTACAGCGAGCTCGGAAACTCACAAGCTCCCGGCAAGAAGAAAGTGCAGCCGGAGGCAGCAGCAGGAGGCAGCAGCCAGGCTGAGACCAAAAGCAAAGTCACGCCACAAGCACGCCTTCTAAAACCAGCCCCAAATGCTAAGACACAAGCTTCCTGAGTTTGTCCAAAACCTATCCACCAAGAACATACTCACCGCACAGGACGGCAGGTCCACACCGGTTAGCACTGGCCCAAGGGGACACTTCCCTCCGGGAATTCCGAAACTACCTGGGTTGCTGACAAGGTGAGACTGCTGGTAAACCAGTCGCTCGGCAAAACCCAGCCATGAACGTTGTCTTACAGGAGGTCTACCTTCCAGAAATGCACATTGGCCAGCAGCTGGCTCGCTCCTGCCCCCGACTGCCAGCAGCTTCCGCACCTGCCTCTGCCCAGCACTGCTGGTGAGTCTGACCTCCGTCTCCCTGTCGAATTCTACAGCACATTTCATCATTTCCTGTTGGCTGCCGAGATCAGGTCATTCCCTTACACTGCTGCAGTCACTGTAAAGCACCAGGCTCTCAGAGGGCTCTGCAGGCTCCTGCCTGCCGCGCCCAGCACAGAAAAGCTCTTTTCAGAAAGGGGCCACAGAAACCTTGGTGTTTCCATGGGAAATCAGGAAGAAGGAGTCTGACAAAGAAATTTATATAACATCAGCCCCAAAGTCAACTTGTATATAGACCAACTTACACTATCCTCCCAGCCTCCCTTCTTGTATTGGGATAGGTCTGCTTAGGAACAACAATAAAAAAGGCACAGCTGTATCTGAGGAGCCAGTGGCAGGAACTGGCTTGGGGGCACTCTTCTCACACTGCCCCACACACAGAGCACCACGTCTTTCCATGCTGCACACATCACGCAATGCAGCTTGTTAGCAGAATAAATGTGGACCCTGACGTCGGAGAGAGGATTGGGGACACAGGGTCCTACACTGTCTCCTAAGAGGGAGGGCACTCAAATAGTCAAGTGTCATTACGTAGAGTAAAACAGGAAACACACCCCACATCTTCCATTCTGAGAAAGAACTGAAAGTGAAGAAAAAAAAACAAAGTAACTTTAGGCAGGAAACAAATCCTTCCTAATTCTAAGATGTATGTGCCCACAAGACCGCATAGCGCTTGAGTCTCCTTAGGCAAAAGTCCCTGTGTGTCATAGCCAGGAGAAGAGCAGCAGGAGCAGGTCCAGGTGGGCTTCCGAGGGTGCTCTGGTCCTTGAACTGGTTATGTGCACGCTGCGTGTAAAGTTCAGGCACAGGCACACTTGTGATCGGGTACTGTTGTATATGCATGATATTCTTCAATAAAGAGTTTTAGCCAGCACACATCAGTAATCCCAGAGACTTGGGAAACAGAAGCAGAAAGATTGCAAGTTTGAGGCCAGACTTGGCAATTTAGTTCCTGTCTCAAAATTGTAAAAGGACCGTGGATATAGTTCAGTGGTAAAATGCCCCTGGATTCACACTCCAATCCGTGAAGAAGTAAATTTTAAAAAAGAGTTTTTAGCTAGACGCAATGATGCATGCCAGTAATCTCAGCTACCCTGCAACAGGAGGATCACAAGTTTAAGAGCAGGGAAACCTAGCAAGATACTTTCTCACAATAAAATTGGAAAAGGGCACAGTGGCRCACACCTGTAATTCCAGAGGCTTGGGAGGTTGAGGCAGGAGGATCGCCTGTTTAAAGCCAGCCTCGGCAACTTACTGAGGCGCTAAGCTACACAGTAAAACCCTGTCTCTAAATAAAATATAAAAAAGGGCTGGGGATGTGGCTCAGTGGTAAAGTGCTTGCTTCGCATGTGTCGAGCACTGGGTTCAATCCTCAGCACCACATAAATAAATAAAGTACTGTGTCCATCTACAACTAAATTTTTTTTTAATTTTAAAAAAATATCTTTTATAATATGCCAAGCTTGGTGAAGCAGCCCATAATCCTAGCGGCTTGAGAGGCTGAGGCAAGGGGATTGCAAGTTCAAAGCCAACCTAAACAATTTAATGAGACTCTGTCTCAAAATAAAAAGAGATGGGGGTGGTACTGGGGTTGTGGCTCAGTAGTAGAGCGCACACCTAGCGCATGCAAGGCACTGGGTTCGATCCTTAGCACACATCAAAATAAATAAAATAAAATAAAGGTATTTAAAAAATAAAAAAGGATGGGGATGTGGCTCAGTGCTTAAGAGCCCCTGGGTTCTTAAATACCAAAGGAGAAAAAAAATCATCTCAAGAGTCTCATTCTGGGGCTGGAGTTGTGGCTCAGTGGTAGGTCAATTGCCTAGCATGTGTGAGACACTGGATTTGATTCTCWGCACCACATATAAATAAATTAATTAAACAAAGGTCCATCCACAACTAAAAAAAATTTGTTTTAAAAGAGAGTCTCATTCTATCTTTTTTAAAAATCAAACAAACAAAGGCTATTCAATAAACATTTATATAGTGCTTACTTTATTTCTGGCTAATTGTAAAAATAACCCTATGGAGGAAATATTGTCAGCTCAACTTTCCACAGTTGATAACTGAGGGTACACAGAGAGGTCACAAAGCTTGCCCGTGACCCACAGCTACTATGGGAGAGGGGTGCAGATTGGAACCCCTCTCCCATAGTAGTAAGCCATCTGAGTCTCAGCTTGCTACACCCACTGCTTCTCTATCTTGGCTTTCCTCAAGGATCAGAACGGGGTCTCTGATACAACCGCCACTTAATAAACCTCTGAATTCAAGAATACGGACGGCAGTGGGACTATGAAGTAGCCAGCCCAGCGTTCCAGCATGGCTGGGGCACTTTCGCCTGGCAATAACATCAGGCACGCTTCAACAGAGGACTCCAGGAGGAATAGTAGCCCCTCCGGCAGGGGACAGGACTGGCTCAGGCAGCAGTCTGGCTCTGGGGAGGGACACAGCCTCCGGGCGCAGTGCTGGGATAGAAACACCGCCCCAGAAACCCACCTGGTAACCTCCATATGCAACATATAGAGGTTGGTATTTCCAGTTCCAATCTGGTTCCTGTCACCAAAGACTAGAAGTCATTGGGCACTCATTCAATAAAGAGTGCCAGGGACAGTCCTTAGGGACTTAGCACCCCACAGCTGAAGCAGCCAAGTCCCTGCCTTGGACTGGCTCTCGGTGTGTGTGCCAAGCAGAACTGTAAATAAGTAAAAACGGTGACAGCAGATAAATGCTAGAACCTAGCATGTACCAAGTGCTGGGGGACATTGCAAAGGAAGGGAGCAATGATCCAGAATTAGTAGCAAAGTCAGGGAAGTCTTCCCAAAGGAGTTGATTCTCTAAGAACCTGCCTTCAGCCCACTCAAACTATGTGGATTAAGGCAGGAAAAAAAAAATTCAACAACTGAAAGTCCAACCAGTTTGCTAAAGATGACCAGGGCTGTCCATCACCTGGTCTTCATCCAGTGGCTTAGTGCCCACACATCAGGCACATCATATGATGGGAAGTCTCCTGGTAGCAATTCAAGCCAATAGAAGTATTAAGCAAGCCAAACTCAAAGACATTGGGACCATTAGGCATGGTGGCACAAGCCTGTAARGTCAACAGCTCAGGAGGCTGAGGCAGGAGGATTGTGAGTTCAAAGCCACCCTCAGCAACTCAGCAAGACCCTAAGCAACTAAGTGAGACCTTGTCTGTAAATAAAATATAAAAAGGGCTAGAGATACGGCTCTGTGGTTAAGTGCTCCTGGGTTTTATCCCCATCCCAAAAATAGAGAAGAAGAAAAAAAGACAATGGGTCAAGGATCTAACGTGGCTGTTCCTCTGTCTGATGCTACACAGTGAAATGGCTTAAGTTCACAAGCTATTTTACAGTAACTCCAACTACTCAGAAGGCTGAGGCAGGAGGATCTCAAGTGCAAGGCCAGCCTTGACAACTAAAAAAAAATAAAAAGGGCTGGAGATGTAGCTCAGTGGTAAAGTGCCCTGGATTCGACCCCAGTAACTAGGAAAAATAAATAATTACATACCAACTTCATAAGATTGGTACTATTAGCCCAGTTTTACAGGAARGGCGACCAGAACAGAGAGGCTAAGCAAATTGTCAGCTAACAAGCCAGAACAGGAGTCAAATTCAGGCCCATGTGATTCTTTCAAAGAATATCCTCTATCACATTCAGGTCAGAAATTTGGATATCTGGCAACAGGGCATGTTATGTGAGGAAGGGACAAAATTTATACAGCATGATCTTCCCCCTGTCCCTCTACTGGTCTATCCCTGCTTTAGAGTCACCTTGTCCTGTTTTTGTTGTAGTAGTAGTAGTAGTAGTAGTAGTACTAGTAGTAGTAGGAGGAGGAGGAGGAGGAGGAGGAGGAGGAGGAGGACAACGATGACTACGACGACGACGACAGAATGCCTTTGTTTTGTTTCATTTTTAGGCGGTGCTCAGGATCCAACCCAATGCCTCACACATGCAAGGCAAGTGCTCTACCACTGAGCTACCGCCCTAGCCCTTTTTTTTTTCCTAGCTTTATTGAGATCTAACTCACATGCCACCCACTTCACCATTTACAGAGCACAATCCTGTGTGTTTAGCATACCCACAGAGGGATGCACCATCACCTCCTCAACGTATGGTGTTTCCATCACCTCAGAAGAGCCCACACTCATCAGTGGACCTTCCCCCTCCAGCTCTCCCCCCGGAACCAGGCAGCCCGCCTCCTACACCGTATTCATAAGGGTGGCGGGCACACAGMCTGGGTCATGGCTTTTGTTGTTGTTGACTGGTGTCAGGGATTGAACCCAGGGAGCTTTTTACACCACTGAGCCACATCCCCAGCCCGCTTCTCCCCGCAACCTTTTTTTTTTTTAAATCTTGAGATAGGTCCAAGTCAGTTGCTTAAGGCCTTTGAAGTTACTGAGGCTGGCCTCAACCCTGCAACCCTGCTGTCTCTGCCTATATTTGGTTTGGGTTATTAATCTGCAGTCCCATCCATCAGTCTCCCCACCCCACAAGACTAAAGATCAAGATGAGAACAAAGCGGGCACCTCCACGGCAGTGGCCACAGGGGAGGGAGGTGTCTGGCAGTCCCACCTGGAGAGCCTCCACAATCCGCACATATCTGGGTCCCTGAACTTAAGGAGCCCAAAATGCAGAGCCAGGTGCTCCACCATCAGGAGGGATGTCAGAAGCCACGCAAGAGCCCAGGAGGAGCCCCTGACTACAAAGCCTTAGCCATTAGGAATCCAATGTCCCCATCTCCAGAAGAGCGAGCATCCCAACAGTACTGCCTGCCCAAGCCAGCGTAGAGTTGTTCTGAGAAGCCAAACTGCRTAGGGACTCCCAGGACTCCAGGCCTTTATGAAAAAGCCCCAAATCTGGCTTGTCACTCTGCCTGCCATAAACCTATGGAAAGTTGGGGAGGAAGTGGGGGACTAAAAAGGACCACACGTATACCCCTGCAGTGGCAGGA